CCATATCCACCCCATAATAACCCCATATCCATCCCATAATAACCCCATATCCACCCCATAATACCCCCATATCCACCCCATATCCACCCCATATCCCCCCCATATCCACCCCATAATAACCCCATATCCATCCCATAATAACCCCCCATACCCCCCCCATATCCACCCCATAACCCCCCCATATCCCCCCCATATCCACCCCATAATAACCCCATATCCACCCCATAATAACCCCATATCCACCCCATAATAACCCCATATCCATCCCATAATAACCCCATATCCACCCCATAATAACCCCATATCCACCCCATAATAACCCCATATCCACCCCATAATAACCCCATATCCACCCCATAATAACCCCATATCCACCCCATAATAACCCCATATCCCCCCATAACCCCCCCATATCCACCCCATAATACCCCCATATCCATCCCATAATAACCCCATATCCACCCCATAATACCCCCATATCCATCCCATAATACCCCCCCATCGCTCACGACACCGCCGCAGCCTCCCCCTCAGGGTGCTCAGGGCAGCACCCATGGGTGCCCCTGGGGGGAGGGGCTCCCCCAGCAGCTCCTCCAGCAGCAGGGCTTGGGCGCAGGCCAGCACCAGGGTGCGGGGGGGGGTCCCGAGGCGTAGCCCCACCCCCACCCAACCTGTGGGTGGGGGTGGGGGGCACCCATGGGTGACACCTATGGGTGCTGGGGGGCACCTATGGGTGTCCCTATGCGTGCTGGGTGCCCCTATGGGTAATGTGTGCCCCTATGGGTGCCCCCTATGGGTGCCCCTATGGGTGCTGGGTGCCCCCTATGTGTGTCCCCTATGGGTGCCCCTATGGGTGCTGGGTGCCCCCTATGGGTGCCCCTATGGATGCTGGGTGCCCTCTATGGGTGCTGGGTGTCCCTATGGGTGCTGGGTGCCCCCTATGGGTGCCCTTATGGGTGCTGGGTCCCCCCTATGGGTGCCCCTATGGGTGCGGGGTCCGCCCTATGGGTGCTGGGTGCCCCCTATGTGTGCCCCCTATGCGTGCCCCCTATGGGTGCCCCTATAGGTGCCCCTATGGGTGCTGGGTGCCCCTATGGCTGCCCCTATGGGTGCTGGGTGCCCCTAGGTGTGTCCCCTATGGGTGCCCCTATGGGTGCTGGGTCCCCCCTATGGGTGCTGGGTGCCCCTATGGGTGTCCCTTATGGGTGCTGGGTGCCCCCTATGGGTGCCCCTATGGGTGCTGGGTACCCCTATGGGTGCCCCCTATGGGTCCCACTATGGGTGCTGGGTGCCCCTATGGGTGCTGGCTGCCCCTATGTGTGTCCCCTATGGGTGCTGGGTGCCCCCTATGGGTGCCCCCTATGGGTGCTGGGTGCCCCCTATGGGTCCCCCCTATGGGTCCCACTATGGGTGCTGGGTGCCCCTATGGGTGCTGGCTGCCCCTACGTGTGCCCCCTATGGGTGCCCCTATGGGTCCCCCCTATGGGTGCCCCTATGGGTGCTGGGTCCGCCCTATGGGTGTCCCCTATGGGTGCCCCTTATGGGTGCTGAGTCTGCCCTATGTGTCCCCCCTATGGGTGCTCCTATGGGTGCTGGGTCCGCCCTATGGGTGTCCCCTATGGGTGCCCCCTATGGGTGCCCCTATGGGTGCTGGGTGCCCCTATGGGTGCTGGCACCCACCTTCCGAGGGGCGCAGCACGATGAGGTACTGCTCGGGGCTGCACTCGATGGCCTTCTGCAGCTCAGCCTCGCTATGGGGCGGGAAGGATGGGTGCTGAGGTCCCCATTGGGTGCTGAGCACCCAATTAGGTCCCATTGGGTGCTGAGCACCCAATTAGGTCCTATTGGGTGCTGAGCTCCTCATTGGGTCCTGAGCAACCAATTGGGTCCCACTGGGTGCTGAGCTCCTCATTGGGTGCTGAGCACCCCATTGGGAGCTGAGCTCCCCATTGGGTGCTGAGCTCCCCATAGGGTCCCATTGGGTGCTGAGCACCCCATTGGGTCCCATTGGGTGCTGAGCTCCTCATTGGGTCCTGAGCACCCAATTGGGTCCCATTGGGTGCTGAGGTCCCCATTGGGTGCTGAGCTCCCCACTGGGTGCTGAGCACCCAATAGGGTCCCATTGGGTGCTGAGCTCCTCATTGGGTGCTGAGCTCCCCATAGGGTCCCATTGGGTGCTGAGCTCCTCATTGGGTGCTGAGCTCCCCATTGGGTGCTGAGCTCCCCATAGGGTCCCATTGGGTGCTGAGGTCCCCACTGGGTGCTGAGCTCCCAATTGGGTCCTATTGGGTGCTGAGCTCCTCATTGGGTGCTGAGCACCCCATTTGGAGCTGAGCTCCCCATTGGGTGCTGAGGTCCCCATAGGGTCCCATTGGGTGCTGAGCTCCTCATTGGGTGCTGAGCTCCTCATTGGGTCCTGAGCACCCAATTAGGTCCCATTGGGTGCTGAGCTCCTCATTGGGTCCTGAGCACCCAATTAGGTCCCATTGGGTGCTGAGCTCCTCATTGGGTGCTGAGCACCCGATTGGGTCCCATTGGGTGCTGAGCTCCTCATTGGGTGCTGAGCACCCCATTTGGAGCTGAGCTCCCCATTGGGTGCTGAGGTCCCCATAGGGTCCCATTGGGTGCTGAGCTCCTCATTGGGTGCTGAGCTCCTCATTGGGTCCCGAGCACCCCATTGGGTCCCATTGGGTGCTGAGCTCCTCATTGGGTGCTGAGCTCCCCATAGGGTCCCATTGGGTGCTGAGCTCCTCATTGGGTGCTGAGCTCCCCATAGGGTCCCATTGGGTGCTGAGCTCCTCATTGGGTGCTGAGCACCCAATTGGGTCCTGAGCACCCCATTGGGTCCCATTGGGTGCTGAGCTCCTCATTGGGTGCTGAGCTCCCCATTGGGTGCTGAGCTCCCCATTGGGTGCTGAGCTCCCCATTGGGTGCTGAGCTCCTCATTGGGTGCTGAGCTCCCCATTGGGTGCTGAGCTCGCCATTGGGTGCTGAGCACCCAATAGGGTCCCATAGGGTCCCCCCCCCCCCGCCATTGGGTGCTCTCTCACCTCTTGACCAATCGGTGCAGGGGGGCACCCAAGTGGAGGCGGAGGCGGGTGCTGAAGCCTGGGGGGGGAAATGGGTGACGTCATAATGACGTCACTGTGACATCACGGTGACGTCATGGTGACGTCATGGTGACACAGGAAAGGGGTGCATAGGGTGATATGGGGATGGGTGACATGGGGGGGGACAATGGGTGCCATTGGGTGCTATTGGGTGACATTGGGTGCCATTGGGTGCCATTGGGTGTCATTGGGTGCCATTGGGTGCCATTGGGTGTCATTGGGTGCCATTGGGAGGGCTATTGGGTGTCATTGGGTGCCATTGGGGGGGGCTATTGGGTGCCATTGGGTGCCATTGGGAGGGCTATTGGGTGTCATTGGGTGCCATTGGGGGGGGCTATTGGGTGCCATTGGGGGGGGCTATTGGGTGCCATTGGGTGCCATTGGGTACCATTGGGTGCCATTGGGGGGGCTATTGGGTGTCATTGGGTGCCATTGGGTGCTATTGGGTGACATTGGGTGCCATTGGGTGCCATTAGGTGCTATTGGGTGCCATTGGGTGCCATTGGGTGCCATTGGGTGCCATTGGGAGGGGTTGATGCCCCATTGGGTGCCATTGGGTGCCATTGGGGGGGGTTGATGACCCACTGGGTGCCATTGGGTGCCAATGGGTGCCATTGGGTGCTATTGGGTGACACTGGGTTCCATTGGGTGCCATTGGGTGCCATTGGGTGCCACTGGGTGCCATTGGGTGCCATTGGGTGCCATTGGGTACCATTGGGTGCCATTGGGTGCCATTGGGAGGGCTATTGGGTGTCATTGGGTGCCATTGAGGGGGGCTATTGGGTGCCATTGGGGGGGGCTATTGGGTGTCATTGGGTGCCATTGGGTGCTATTGGGTGTCATTGGGTGACATTGGGAGGGCTATTGGGTGTCATTGGGTGCCATTGGGGGGGGCTATTGGGTGCCATTGGGGGGGGCTATTGGGTGCCATTGGGTGCCATTGGGTACCATTGGGTGCCATTGGGGGGGCTATTGGGTGTCATTGGGTGCCATTGGGTGCTATTGGGTGACATTGGGTGCCATTGGGTGCCATTAGGTGCTATTGGGTGCCATTGGGTGCCATTGGGTGCCATTGGGTGCCATTGGGTGCCATTGGGAGGGGTTGATGCCCCATTGGGTGCCATTGGGTGCCATTGGGGGGGGTTGATGACCCACTGGGTGCCATTGGGTGCCATTGGGTACCATTGGGTACCATTGGGTGCCATTGGGTGCCATTGTGTGCCATTGGGTGCCATTGGGTGCCATTGGGTACCATTGGGTGCCATTGGGTGCCATTGGGTACCATTGGGTGCCATTGGGTGCCATTGGGTACCATTGGGTACCATTGGGTGCCATTGGGTGCCATTGGGTGCCACTGGGTGCCATTAGGAGGGGTTGATGACCCATTGGGTGCCATTGGGTACCAGTGGGTGCCATTGGGTACCATTGGGTGCCATTGGGTGCCATTGGGGGGGGTTGATGCCCCATTGGGTGCCATTGGGTGCCATTGGGTACCATTGGGATCCCATTGGGTACCATTGGGTGCCATTGGGTGCCATTGGGTGCCATTGGGGGGGGTTGATGCCCCATTGGGTGCCATTGGGTGCCATTGGGTACCATTGGGATCCCATTGGGTACCATTGGGTGCCATTGGGTGCCATTGGGTGCCATTGGGTGCCATTGGGTGCCATTGGGGGGGGTTGATGACCCATTGGGTGCCATTGGGTGCCATTGGGGGGGGTTGATGACCCATTGGGTGCCATTGGGTGCCATTGGGGGGGGGTTGATGCCACATTGGGTGCCATTGGGGGGGGTTAATGACCCATTGGGTACCATTGGGCGCCATTGGGTGCCATTGGGTGCCATTGGGTGCCATTGGGTACCATTGGGTGCCATTGGGTGCCATTGGGTGCCATTGGGTGCCATTGGGTACCATTGGGTGCCATTGGGTGCCATTGGGATCCCATTGGGTGCCATTGGGTGCCATTGGGTGCCATTGGGTACCATTGGGTGCCATTGGGTGCCACTGGGGGGGGGTTGATGCCCCATTGGGTGCCATTGGGTGCCATTGGGTGCCATTGGGTGCCATTGGATGCCATTGGGAGGGGTTGATGAACCATTGGGTGCCATTGGGTACCATTGGGTGCCATTGGGTGCCATTGGGTGCCATTGGGTGCCATCGGGTGCCATTGGGTGCCATCCACTCACCGGGCAGCAGCGGCTCCCGCGGGTTCACCTCGTCGGGGGTGGGGACAGCGATGGCTCCGCCCCCATCCTTGGCCACGCCCCTCAAGGCCCCGCCCAGCGCCAGCCGGAGGCGGGGCCTATTGAGGCTGCGCAGGCGCAGGGACCCCACGGCGCCCACGTTGGCGCCCACGTGGGTCACGAGCAGCAACGTCATCACCGCCCACGTGACCCTGGGAGAGCCAATGGGGTGAGAGCCCAAAACCCCATAGAGCCAATGGGGGACCCCAAAACCCCATAGAGCCAATGGGGGACCCCAAAACCCCATAGAGCCAATGGGGAGAGACCCCAAAACCCCATAGAGCCAATGGGGGACCCCAAAACCCCATAGAGCCAATGGGGAGAGACCCCAAAACCCCATAGAGCCAATGGGGAGAGACCCCAAAACCCCATAGAGCCAATGGGGAGAGACCCCAAAACCCCATAGAGCCAATGAGGCTGGACCCCAAAACCCCATAGAGCCAATGGGGAGAGAGCCAATGGGGAGAGAGCCAATGGGGGGCGGAGCCAGCTCCATTCATCCCTATTGAAGCCACGCCCCCATCCCCTTTGACCCCGCCCCCTGTGGGTCCCTCCCAGCCAATCAACGCTCAGCATCCCTTAGGCCACGCCCCCTTACCATGGCCGCCCCTCCAATGCCGGCAGCAGCAGCAGGGCCAGCAGCAGCCCGAGCCCATTCACCAGCGTCTCCTGCCCAGTATAAACCAGTATAAACCAGTATGGACCAGTATGGACCGGTATAAACCAGTATGGACCAGTATAAACCAGTATGGACCAGTATGGACCAGTATAAACCAGTATGGACTGGTATAAACCAGTATAGACCAGTATGGACCAGTATAAACCAGTATGGACCGGTATGGACCAGTTCACCCCAGTGCATCCCAGTCCATCCCATTCCATCCCAGTCCATCCCAATCCCATCCCAATCCCATCCCAGTTCCATCCCAGTTCACCCCAGTCCATCCCAATCCATCCCAGTCCATCCCAGTCCATCCCAGTGCATCCCAGTTCATCCCAGTCCATCCCAGTTCCATCCCAATCCCATCCCAGTCCATCCCAGTCCATCCCAATCCCATCCCAGTCCATCCCATTCCCATCCCAGTTCCATCCCATTCCCATCCCAGTCCATCCCAGTCCCTCTCAATCCCATCCCAGTCCATCCCAGTCCATCCCAGTCCATCCCAGTTCCATCCCAGTGCATCCCAGTCCATCCCAGTTCCATCCCAGTCCATCCCAGTCCCTCTCAATCCCATCGCAGTCCATCCCAGTCCATCCCAATCCCATCCCAGTCCATCCCAGTCCATCCCAGTTCCATCCCAGTCCATCCCAGTCCATCCCATTCCCATCCCAGTCCATCCCAGTCCATCCCAATCCCATCCCATTCCATCCCATCCCATCCCAGTCCATCCCAGTCCATCCCAGTCCATCCCAATCCCATCCCAGTCCATCCCAGTCCATCCCAGTCCATCCCAGTCCATCCCATTCCCATCCCAGTCCATCCCAGTCCCTCTCAATCCCATCCCAGTTCCATCCCAGTCCATCCCAGTCCATCCCAATCCCATCCCAGTCCATCCCAATCCCATCCCAGTCCATCCCAGTCCATCCCAGTCCATCCCAGTCCATCCCAGTCCCCACCTGGCTGCTGTCCTTGGCTGCCACCTCGGCCACGTTGTCCCTCCGGGCCTGGTGCACGGCCAGAGCGGCGCGGGTGGCACCGCCGGCGACCCCCACCACGCACTGGGGGACCAGTATAAACCAGTATAAACCAGTATAAACCAGTATAAACCAGTATGGACCAGTACGGACCAGTATGGACCAGTATAAACCAATATGGAGCAATATGGACCAGCACATCACTTCAATACACTCCAATACGCACCAGTGCCATCCTCATTACACATTGGGTCCAAACCAGTATAAACCAGTATAAACCAGTATGGACCAGTATGGACCAGTATGGACCAATATGGACCAGCACATCACACCAATACACTCCAATACACACCAGTGCCATCCTCATCACACATTGGGTCCATACCAGTATAAACCAGTATAAACCAGTATGGACCAGTATGGACCAGTATGGACTAGTATGGACCAGTATGGACCAGTATGGACCGGTATGGACCAATATGGACCAGCACATCACTCCAATACACTCCAATACACACCAGTGCCATCCTCATCACATATTGGGACCATACCAGTATAAACCAGTATAAACCAGTATGGACCAGTATAAACCAGTATAAACCAGTATAAACCAGTATGGACCAGTATGGACCGGTATGGACCGGTATGGACCAGTATGGACCGGTATGGACCAGCACATCACTCCAATACACTCCAATACACACCAGTGCCATCCTCATCACACATTGGGTCCATACCAGTATAAACCAGTATAAACCAGTATAAACCAGTATAAACCAGTATGGACCAGTATGGACCAGTATAAACCAGTATGGACCAGCACATCACTCCAATACACTCCAATACACACCAGTGCCATCCTCATCACACATTGGGTCCATACCAGTATAAACCAGTATAAACCAGTATGGACCAGTATAAACCAGTATGGACCGGTATGGACCAGTATAAACCAGTATGGACCAGTATGGACCGGTATGGACCAGTATAAACCAGTACGGACCAGTATGGACCAGTATAAACCAGTATGGACCAGTATGGACCAGTATGGACCAGTATAAACCAGTATGGACCAGTATGGACCAGTATAAACCAGTATGGACCAGTACGGACCAGTATGGACCAGTATGGACCAGTATAAACCAGTATGGACCAGTATGGACCAGTATAAACCAGTATGGACCAATATGGACCAGTATGGACCAGTATAAACCAGTATGGACCAGTACACATATTGCCCCCCCCCCATTACCCCCCATTGCCCCCCCTCAAGCCCCGCCCCTCCCTATGACGTCACCTTTCCCGCCGCCGCCAACGTCAGGAGGGCGGGGCCAGCGCGGGGCCAACCCGGCGCGAGCAGCTCCAGCAGCAGCGCCACGTCATTGATGACGTCAGCGGCCAGCCTGCGAGGGCCAATGGGAGATGGGGGGGAGGGAGGAAGGGAGGGAGGAAGAAAGGGGGCGGAGCCAATGGGGGAAGGGGGCGAGGCTGAGCCAATGGGAGGGGGGGAGGGTGGGTGTGAATGGGGAAGGGGGCGGGGCTTAATGAAAGGGGCGGGGTTTGGGGAGGGGGCGCGGCTTAGGGAAGGGGGCGGGGCGTGGCTTATGGGGGCGGGGTTTGGGGAAGGGGACGTGGCTTAGGGAAGGAGGCGTGGCTTAGGGAAGGGGGCGGGGTTTGGGGAAGTGGGCGGGGCTTGGGGAAGGGGGTGTGGCTTATGGAGGGGCGGGGTTTTGGGAAGGGGGCGTAGCTTGGGAAAAGGATGGGGTTTTGAGAAGGGGCGGGGCTTAGGGAAAGGGGCGGGGTTTGGGGAAGGGGCGGGGTTTATGGAAGAGGCGGGGTTTGCGGGAAGGGGGCGTGGCTTGGGAAGGGGCGGGGTTTGGTGAAGGGGCGTGGCTTAGGGAAGGGGTGGGGTTTGGGGAAGGGGTGGGGTTTGAGGAAGTGGGCAGGGCTTGGGGAAGGGGGCGTGGCTTAGGGAAGGATGTGGGGGTTGGGGAAGAGGCGGGGCTTAGGGAAGGGGGCGGGGTTTGGGGAAGGAGGTGGGGCTTGGGGACGGGGCGGGGCTTAAGGAAGGGGTGGGGTTGGGGGAAGGGGGCGTGGCTTAAGGGGCGGGGCTTAGGTAAGGGGCGGGGTTTGGGGAAGTGGGCGGGGCTTGTGAACGGGGGCGTGGCTTAAGGAAGGAGCAGGGCTTATGGAAGGGGTGGGGTTGGGGGAAGGGGGCGTGGCTTAAGGGGCGGGGTTTGGGGAAGTGGACGGGGTTTTGGAGAGGGGGCGTGGCCTAAGGAAGGGGCGGGGCTTATGGGAGGGGCGTGGCTTAGGTAAGGGGGCGTGGCTTGGGGGAATGGGGCGTGGCTTAAGGAAGGGGTGGGGCTTAGTAAATGGGGCGGGGCTTTGAGAAGGGGCGGGGTCGATAAAAGGGGCGGGGCTTGGGGAAGTGGCGCGGTTTGCGGGAAGGGGGCGGGGCTTAGGGAAGGGGCGGGTCCTGAAGGGGGCGTGGTTTAATGAAGGGGCGGAGCTTATGGAAGAGGGCGTGGTTTGCGGGAATGAGGCGGGGCTTAGGGAAGGGACGGGGTTTGGGAAGGGCGTGTGGCTTGGGAAGGGGCGGGGTTTAGGGAAGGGGCGTGGCTTAGGGAAGGGGGCGTGGCCTCACCGCCACTGCTTTGCCTCGCAGTCCAGGCGGCTCCTATTGGGGGGGGGAACCGGTATGGACCAGTAAGGACCAGTGCCCCCCCCCACCATTGACTCCCATTGCTCACCCAGTGTGATCCCAGTTCATCCCATTCCCATCCCAGTCCCATCCCAGTTCCATCCCAGTCCCTCCCAGTCCATCCCAGTCCATCCCAGTTCATCCCAATCCCATCCCAGTTCCATCCCAGTTCATCCCATCCCATCCCAGTCCATCCCAGTCCATCCCATTCCCATCCCAGTTCCATCCCAGTTCATCCCAGTCCATCCCAGTCCCTCCCAGTCCATCCCAGTCCATCCCAGTTCATCCCAATCCCATCCCAGTTCCATCCCAGTTCATCCCATTCCCATCCCAGTTCCATCCCAGTTCATCCCAGTCCATCCCAGTCCCTCCCAGTCCATCCCAGTCCATCCCAGTTCATCCCAATCCCATCCCAGTTCCATCCCAGTTCATCCCATTCCCATCCCAGTTCCATCCCAGTTCATCCCAGTCCATCCCAGTCCCTCCCAGTCCATCCCAGTCCATCCCAGTTCAATCCCAGGCCATCCCAATCCATCCCAGTCCATCCCAATCCCATCCCAGTCCATCCCAGTCCATCCCAGTCCCTCCCATTCCCATCCCAGTCCATCCCAGTGCTCACCCCTGCAGGCAGGTGAACGTGATTCTCGTCACCATCCCCACCCCATCTGTGGGGGACACAAATTTGGGGTGAAAAAGGGGGATTTTGGGTCAAAAAGGGGGTTTTGGGGTGAAAAAGGGGGATTTTGGGTCAAAAAGGGGATTTGGGGTGAAAAAGGGGGATTTTAGGTCAAAAGGGGTTTTTGGGGTGAAAAAGGGGGATTTTGGGTCAAAAAGGGGTTTTGGGGTGAAAAAGGGGGATTTTGGGTCAAAAAGGGGAATTTGGGGTGAAAAGTGGGGATTTTGGGTCAAAATGGGGTTTGGGGTGAAAAAGGGGGATTTTGGGTCAAAAAGGGGATTAGGGGTGAAAAAGGGGGATTTTGGGTCAAAAAGGGGGGTTTGGGGTGAAAAAGGGGGATTTGGGGAAAAACGGGGGGGTTTTGGGGTGAAAAAGGGGGATTTTGGGTCAAAAAGGGGGTTTGGGGTGAAAAAGGGGGATTTTGGGTCAAAAAGGGGTTTTGGGGTGAAAAAGGGGGATTTTGGGTCAAAAGGGGGTTTTGGGTGAAAAAGGGCGATTTTGGGTCAAAAAGGGGGTTTGGGGTGAAAAAGGGGGATTTTGGGTCAAAATGGGGTTTGGGGTTAAAAAGGGGGATATTGGGTCAAAAAGGGGGTTTGGGGTGAAAAAGCGGGATTTTGGGTCAAAAGGGGGTTTTGGGGTGAAAAAGGAAGTTTTTGGGTCAAAAAGGGGGTTTGGAGTGAAAAAAGGGGATTTTGGGTCAAAAGGTGTTTTGGGGTGAAAATGGGGGATTTTGGGTCAAAAAGGGGATTTGGGGTGAAAAAGGGGGATTTTGGGTCAAAATGGGGTTTGGGGTGAAAAAGGGGGATTTTGGGTCAAAAAGGGGGTTTTGGGGTGAAAAAGGAAGTTTTTGGGTCAAAAAGGGGGTTTGGGGTGAAAAAAGGGGATTTTGGGTCAAAAGGGGGTTTTGGGGTGAAAATGGGGGATTTTGGGTCAAAAAGGGGATTTGGGGTGAAAAAGGAGGATTTTGGGTCAAAAAGGGGGTTTGGGGTGAAAAAGGGGGATTTTTGGGTCAAAAAGGGGGTTTGGGGTGAAAAAGGGGGATTTTGGGTTAAAAAGGAGGGTTTGGGGTGAAAAAGGGGGATTTTGGGTCAAAAATGGGTTTTGGGGTGAAAAAGGGGGATTTTGGGAAAAAAAGGGGTTTTGGGGTGAAAAAGGGGGATTTTGGGAAAAAATGGGGGGTTTGGGGGAAAAAGGGGGATTTTGGGGTGAAAAAGGGGGGGTTTGGGGTGAAAAAGGGGGATTTTGGGAAAAACGGGGGGTTTTGGGGTGAAAAAGGGGGATTTGGGGAAAAATGGGGGGTTTTGGGGTGAAAAAGGGGGATTTTGGGTCAAAAAGGGGAATTTGGGGTGAAAAGGGGGGATTTTGGGTCAAAATGGGGTTTGGGGTGAAAAAGGGGGATTTTGGGTCAAAAAGGGGTTTTGGGGTGAAAAAGGGGGATTTTGGGTCAAAAAGGGGTTTTGGGGTGAAAAAGGGGGATTCTGGGTCAAAAAGGGGGTTTGGGGTGAAAAAGGGGGATTTTGGGTCAAAAGGGGTTTTGGGGTGAAAAAGGGGGATTTTGGGTCTAAAAGGGGTTTTGGGTCAAAAAAGGGTGATTTTGGGTCAAAAGGGATTTGGGGTGAAAAAGGGGGATTTTGGGTCAAAAAGGGGATTTGGGGTGAAAAAGAGGATTTTGGGTCAAAAAGGGGGTTTGGGGGTGAAAAAGTGGGATTTTGGGTCAAAAAGGGGGTTTGGGGTGAAAAAGGGGGATTTTGGGTCAAAAGGGGTTTTGCGGTGAAAAAGGGGGATTTCGGGTCAAAAGGGGTTTTGGGGTGAAAAAGGGGGATTTCGGGTCAAAAAGGGGTTTGGGGTGAAAAAGGGGGATTCTGGGTCAAAAGGGGGTTTTGGGGTGAAAAAGGGTGATTTTGGGTCAAAAAAGGGTGATTTTGGGTCAAAATGAGGTTTGGGGTGAAAAAGGGTAATTTTGGTCAAAATGGGGTTTGGGGTGAAAAAAGGGGATTTTGGGTTGAGATTTGCGGTGAAAAATGAGGTTTTTGTGGTCTGGAAAGCAGATTTTGGGGTGAAAAAAGGGGATTTTGGGGTGAAATGAGGGGATTTTGGGGTTAAACCGGGGGTTTTTGGGGTCGCCAGATCTGTTTTGGGGGGTTTTGGGGTGGAACGGGGCAGGTTTTGGGGTGAAAAAGGGGGTTTCTGGGGTCACTGGAGCTGTTTTGGGGGTGAAACCGGGGGTTTTTGGGGTCGCCGGATGCGTTTTTGGGGTTTTCATTGTGGGAAAGGGCCATTTTGGGGGTGAAAATGGGCGTTTTTGGGGTCACTGAAGCCATTTTTGGGGTGAAACCACAGGATTTCGGGGTCGCCGGATGCATTTTTGGGGGTTTCTCGTCGGGAAAGGGCCATTTTTGGGGTGAAAAGCAGCGTTTTCGGAGTCACCAGATCCGTTTTTGGGTGTTTTGGGGGGTAAAGGGCCGTTTTTGGGATGAAAATGGGGGTTTTTGGGGGCACTGGATGCGTTTCTGGGGGTTTTCATGGTGGGAAAGGGCCGTTTTTGGGGTGAAAAGTGGCATTTTTGGGGTGAAACCAGGGTTTTTTGGGGTCGCTGGATGCGTCTCTGGGGGTTTCGCATCGGGAAAGGGCCATTTTTGGGGTGAAAAGGGCCGGTTTTGGGGTGAAAAAGGGGGTTTCTGGGGTCACTGGAGCCATTTTTGGGGTGAAACCGGGGGTTTTTGGGGTCGCCGGATGCGTTTCTGGGGGTTTCATGGTGGGAAAGGGCCATTTTTGGGGTGAAAATGGGGGGTTTTGGGGTTGCCGGATGCGTTTTCGGGGGTTTTGTGGTGGGAAAGGTCCATTTTTGGGTTGAAAAGGGGCGTTTTTGGGGTCGCCAGATCCGTTTTGGGGTGTTTGGGGGGGTAAAGGGCCGTTTTTGGGGTGAAAATGGGGGTTTTTGGGGTCACTCGATGAGTTTCTGGGGGCTTCATGGTGGGAAAGGGCCATTTTTGGGGTGAAAAGGGGAATTTTTGGGGTGAAAAGGGGAATTTTGGGGGTGAAAAGGGGCATTTTTGGGGTGAAACCAGGGGTTTTGGGGGTCGCCGGATGTGTTTCTGGGGGTTTCATGGTGGAAAAGGGCCATTTTTGGGGTGAAAAGGGGCATTTTTGGGGTGAAACCAGGGTTTTTTGGGGTTGCCAGATGCGTTTTTGGGGGTTTCATGGTGGGAAAGGGCCATTTTTGGGGTGAAAAGAGGCATTTTTGGGGTGAAACCAGGAGTTTTCGGGGTCGCCGGATGCGTTTCTGGGGGTTTCATGGTGGAAAAGGGCCATTTTTGGGGTGAAAAAGGGTTTTTTTGGGGTGAAACCAGGGGTTTTCGGGGTCGCCGGACGCATTTCCGGGGGTTTCGCGTCGGGAAAAGGCCATTTTTGGGGTGAAAAAGGGGGTTTTTGGGTTCGCTGACCCCGCAGCAGCCAGGTGAGGGTGGCCCCGGTGACGGTGGCGGCGCCGTCGCCCACCCCCATGGCCTGGAGCACGGCGCGGGCAGAGAGGGAACCGGCCAATGAGGAGCAGAGGGCCTGGAGAGAGACCAGTGAGAACCAGTTAGAACCAGTTAGAACCAGTTAGAGACCAGTGAGAACCAGTTAGAGACCAGTTAGAGACCAGTTAGAGACCAGTTAGAACCAGTTAGAACCAGTTAGAGACCAGTTAGAACCAGTTAGAACCAGTTAGAGACCAGTTAGAACCAGTTAGAGACCAGTTAGAGACCAGTTAGAACCAGTTAGAACCAGTTAGGACCAGTTAGAGACCAGTTAGAACCAGTTAGAGACCAGTTAGAACCAGTTAGAACCAGTTAGAGACCAGTTAGAACCAGTTAGAACCAGTTAGAACCAGTTAGAACCAGTTAGAACCCGTTAGAGACCAGTTAGAACCAGTTAGAACCAGTTAGAGACCAGTTACAACCAGTTAGAACCAGTTAGAGACCAGTTAGAACCAGTTAGAACCAGTTAGAGACCAGTTAGAACCAGTTAGAGACCAGTTAGAGACCAGTTAGAACCAGTTAGAACCAGTTAGAGACCAGTTAGAACCAGTTAGAACCAGTTAGAACCAGTTAGAGACCAGTTAGAACCAGTTAGAACCAGTTAGAGACCAGTTAGAACCAGTTAGAGACCAGTTAGAACCAGTTACAACCAGTTAGAACCAGTTAGAACCAGTTAGAACCAGTTAGAGACCAGTTAGAACCAGTTAGAACCAGTTAGAGACCAGTTAGAACCAGTTAGAACCAGTTAAAACCAGTTAGAACCAGTTAGAACCAGTTAGAACCAGTTAGAACCAGTTAGAGACCAGTGAGAACCAGTGAGAACCAGTTAGAGACCAGTTAGAGACCAGTTAGAACCAGTTAGAACCAGTTAGAACCAGTTAGAGACCAGTTAGAGACCAGTTAGAACCAGTTAGAGACCAGTTAGAACCAGTTAGAGACCAGTTAGAACCAGTTAGAACCAGTTAGAACCAGTTAGAACCAGTTAGAACCAGTTAGAACCCGTTAGAGACCAGTTAGAACCAGTTAGAACCAGTTAGAGACCAGTTACAACCAGTTAGAACCAGTTAGAGACCAGTTAGAACCAGTTAGAACCAGTTAGAGACCAGTTAGAACCAGTTAGAGACCAGTTAGAGACCAGTTAGAACCAGTTAGAACCAGTTAGAGACCAGTTAGAACCAGTTAGAACCAGTTAGAACCAGTTAGAGACCAGTTAGAACCAGTTAGAACCAGTTAGAGACCAGTTAGAACCAGTTAGAGACCAGTTAGAACCAGTTACAACCAGTTAGAACCAGTTAGAACCAGTTAGAACCAGTTAGAACCAGTTAGAGACCAGTTAGAACCAGTTAGAACCAGTTAAAACCAGTTAGAACCAGTTAGAACCAGTTAGAACCAGTTAGAACCAGTTAGAGACCAGTGAGAACCAGTGAGAACCAGTTAGAGACCAGTTAGAGACCAGTTAGAACCAGTTAGAGACCAGTTAGAACCAGTTAGAGACCAGTTAGAACCAGTTAGAACCAGTTAGAACCAGTTAGAACCAGTTAGAACCCGTTAGAGACCAGTTAGAACCAGTTAGAACCAGTTAGAGACCAGTTACAACCAGTTAGAACCAGTTAGAGACCAGTTAGAACCAGTTAGAACCAGTTAGAGACCAGTTAGAACCAGTTAGAGACCAGTTAGAGACCAGTTAGAACCAGTTAGAACCAGTTAGAGACCAGTTAGAACCAGTTAGAACCAGTTAGAACCAGTTAGAGACCAGTTAGAACCAGTTAGAACCAGTTAGAGACCAGTTAGAACCAGTTAGAGACCAGTTAGAACCAGTTACAACCAGTTAGAACCAGTTAGAACCAGTTAGAACCAGTTAGAGACCAGTTAGAACCAGTTAGAACCAGTTAGAGACCAGTTAGAACCAGTTAGAACCAGTTAGAACCAGTTAGAGACCAGTTAGAACCAGTTAGAACCAGTTAGAACCAGTTAGAACCAGTTAGAGACCAGTTAGAACCAGTTAGAGACCAGTGAGAACCAGTTAGAACCAGTTAAAAGCAGTTAGAACCAGTTAGAGACCAGTTAGAACCAGTTAGAGACCAGTTAGAACCAGTTAGAGACCAGTTAGAACCAGTTAGAGACCAGTTAGAACCAGTTAGAACCAGTTAGAGACCAGTTAGAACCAGTTAGAACCAGTTAGAGACCAGTTAGAACCAGCTAGAACCAGTTAAAACCAGTTAGAGACCAGTTAGAGACCAGTTAGAACCAGTTAGAACCAGTTAGAGACCAGTTAGAACCAGTTAGAACCAGTTAGAACCAGTTAGAACCTGTTAGAACCAGTTAGAGACCAGTTAGAACCAGTTAGAACCAGTTAGAACCAGTTAGAACCAGTTAGAGACCAGTTAGAACCAGTTAGAGACCAGTTAGAGACCAGTTAGAACCAGTTAGAACCAGTTAGAGACCAGTTAGAGACCAGTTAGAACCAGTTAGAACCAGATAGAACCAGTTAGAGACCAGTTAGAGACCAGTTAGAACCAGTTAGAGACCAGTTAGAACCAGTTAGAACCAGTTAGAGACCAGTTAGAACCAGTTAGAGACCAGTTAGAGACCAGTTAGAACCAGTTAGAACCAGTTAGAACCAGTTAGAGACCAGTTAGAACCAGTTAGAACCAGTTAGAACCAGTTAGAGACCAGTTAGAACCAGTTAGAACCAGTTAGAGACCAGTTAGAACCAGTTAGAACCAGTTAGAACCAGTTAGAGACAAGTCAGAACCAGTTAGAGCCAGTTAGAACCCGTTAGAGACCAGTTAGAACCAGTTAGAGACCAGTTAGAGACCAGTTAGAACCAGTTAGAACCAGTTAGAACCAGTTAGAGACCAGTTAGAACCAGTTAGAGACCAGTTAGAGACCAGTTAGAACCAGTTAGAACCTGTTAGAACCAGTTAGAGACCAGTGAGAACCAGTTAGAACCAGTTAGAACCAGTTAGAGACCAGTTAGAACCAGTTAGAACCAGTTAGAACCAGTTAGAGACCAGTTAGAACCAGTTAGAACCAGTTAGAACCAGTTAGAGACCAGTTAGAGACCAGTTAGAACCAGTTAGAACCAGTTAGAGACCAGTTAGAACCAGTTAGAACCAGTTAGAACCAGTTAGAGCCAGTTAGAACCAGTTAAAACCAGTTAGAACCAGTTAGAGACCAGTTAGAACCAGTTAGAACCAGTTAGAGACCAGTTAGAACCAGTTAGAACCAGTTAGAACCAGTTAGAACCAGTTAGAGACCAGTTAGAACCAGTTAGAACCAGTTAGAACCAGTTAGAGACCAGTTAGAACCAGTTAGAGACCAGTTAGAGACCAGTTAGAACCAGTTAGAGACCAGTTAGAACCAGTGAGAACCAGTTAGAACCAGTTAGAACCAGTTAGAGACCAGTTAGAACCAGTTAGAACCAGTTAGAGACCAGTTAGAACCAGTTAGAACCAGTTAGAACCAGTGAGAACCAGTTAGAACCAGTTAGAGACCAGTTAGAACCAGTTAGAGACCAGTTAGAACCAGTTAGAACCAGTTAGAGACCAGTTAGAACCAGTTAGAACCAGTTAGAACCAGTTAGAACCAGTTAGAACCAGTTAGAACCCGTTAGAGACCAGTTAGAACCAGTTAGAACCAGTTAGAGACCAGTTACAACCAGTTAGAACCAGTTAGAGACCAGTTAGAACCAGTTAGAGACCAGTTAAAACCAGTTAGAACCAGTTAGAGACCAGTTAGAACCAGTTAGAGACCAGTTAGAACCAGTTAGAGACCAGTTAGAACCAGTTAGAGACCAGTTAGGACCAGTGAGAACCAGTGAGAAACAGTTAGAACCAGTTAGAACCAGTTAGAGACCAGTGAGAACCAGTGAGAACCAGTTAGAACCAGTTAGAGACCAGTTAGAACCAGTTAGAACCAGTTAGAACCAGTTAGAGACCAGTTAGAACCAGTTAGAGACCAGTTAGAACCAGTTAGAGACCAGTGAGAACCAGTTAGAGACCAGTTAGAACCAGTTAGAACCAGTTAGAGACCAGTGAGAACCAGTGAGAACCAGTTAGAACCAGTTAGAACCAGTTAGAACCAGTTAGAGACCAGTTAGAACCAGTTAGAGACCAGTTAGAGACCAGTTAGAACCAGTTAGAACCAGTTAGAGACCAGTTAGAACCAGATAGAACCAGATAGAGACCAGTTAGAGACCAGTTAGAACCAGTTAGAACCAGTTAGAACCAGTTAGAGACCAGTTAGAGACCAGTTAGAACCAGTTAGAGACCAGTTAGAACCAGTTAGAACCAGTTAGAGACCAGTTAGAACCAGTTAGAACCAGTTAGAGACCAGTTAGAACCAGTTAGAACCAGTTAGGACCAGTTAGAGACCAGTTAGAACCAGTTAGAACCAGTTAGGACCAGTTAGAGACCAGTTAGAACCAGTTAGAACCAGTTAGAGACCAGTTAGAACCAGTTAGAACCAGTTAGAACCAGTTAGAACCAGTTAGAGACCAGTTAGAACCGGTTAGAACCGGTTAGAACCGGTTAGAACCAGTTAGAACCAGTTAGAGACCAGTTAGAACCAGTTAGAACCAGTTAGAACCAGTTAGAGACCAGTTAGAACCAGTTAGAACCTGTTAGAGACCAGTTAGAACCAGTTAGAACCAGTTAGAGACCAGTTAGAACCAGTTAGGACCAGTTAGAGACCAGTTAGAACCAGTTAGAGACCAGTTAGAGACCAGTTAGAGACCAGTTAGAACCAGTTAGAACAAGTTAGAGACCAGTTAGAACCAGTTAGAACCAGTTAGAACCAGTTAGAGACCAGTTAGAACCAGTTAGAACCAGTTAGAGACCAGTTAGAACCAGTTAGAACCAGTTAGAACCAGTTAGAGACCAGTTAGAGACCAGTTAGAACCAGTTAGAACCAGTTAGAACCAGTTAGAGACCAGTTAGAGACCAGTTAGAACCAGTTAGAACCAGTTAGAACCAGTTAGAGACCAGATAGAACCAGTTAGAGACCAGTTAGAACCAGTTAGAACCAGTTAGAACCAGTTAGAACCAGTTAAAACCAGTTAGAGACCAGTGAGAACCAGTTAGAACCAGTTAGAACCAGTTAGAGACCAGTTAGAACCAGTTAGAACCAGTTAGAGACCAGTTAGAACCAGTTAGAACCAGTTAGAGACCAGTTAGAGACCAGTTAGAACCAGTTAGAGACCAGTTAGAGACCAGTTAGAACCAGTTAGAACCAGTTAGAACCAGTTAGAGACCAGTTAGAGACCAGCTAGAACCAGTTAGAGACCAGTTAGAACCAGTTAGAACCAGTTAGAACCAGATAGAACCAGATAGAGACCAGTTAGAACCAGTTAGAGACCAGTTAGAACCAGTTAGAACCAGTTAGAACCAGTTAGAGACCAGTTAGAGACCAGTTAGAACCAGTTAGAACCAGTTAGAACCAGTTAGAGACCAGTGAGAACCAGTTAGAACCAGTTAGAACCAGTTAGAGACCAGTTAGAACCAGTTAGAGATTAGTGAGAACCAGTTAGAGACCAGTTAGAGACCAGTTAGAACCAGTTAGAGACCAGTGAGAACCAGTTAGAACCAGTTAGAACCAGTTAGAGACCAGTTAGAACCAGTTAGAGACCAGTGAGAACCAGTTAGAGACCAGTTAGAGACCAGTTAGAGACCAGTTAGAACCAGTTAGAACCAGTTAGAACCAGTTAGAGACCAGTTAGAACCAGTTAGAACCAGTTAGAACCAGTTAGAGATTAGTGAGAACCAGTTAGAACCAGTTAGAGACCAGTTAGAACCAGTTAGAACCAGTTAGAGACCAGTGAGAACCAGTTAGAACCAGTTAGAACCAGTTAGAGACCAGTTAGAACCAGTTAGAGACCAGTGAGAACCAGTTAGAGACCAGTTAGAGACCAGTTAGAGACCAGTTAGAACCAGTTAGAACCAGTTAGAACCAGTTAGAGACCAGTTAGAACCAGTTAGAACCAGTTAGAACCAGTTAGAGAGCAGTTAGAACCAGTTAGAGACCAGTTAGAACCAGTTAGAACCAGTTAGAACCAGTTAGAACCAGTTAGAGACCAGTTAGAACCAGTTAGAACCAGTTAGAACCAGTTAGAACCAGTTAGAGACCAGTGAGAACCAGTTAGAACCAGTTAGAACCAGTTAGAACCAGTTAGAGACCAGTTAGAACCAGTTAGAACCAGTTAGAGACCAGTTAGAACCAGTTAGAGACCAGTTAGAACCAGTTAGAACCAGTTAGAACCAGTTAGAACCAGTTAGAGACCAGTTAGAACCAGTTAGAACCAGTTAGAGACCAGTTAGAACCAGTTAGAACCAGTTAGAGACCAGTTAGAACCAGTTAGAACCAGTTAGAGACCAGTTAGAACCAGTTAGAGACCAGTTAGAACCAGTTAGAGACCAGTTAGAACCAGTTAGAACCAGTTAGAACCAGTTAGAACCCAGTTAGAACCAGTTAGAGACCAGTTAGAGACCAGTTAGAACCAGTTAGAACCAGTTAGAACCAGTTAGAGACCAGTTAGAACCAGTTAGAGACCAGTGAGAACCAGTTAGAACCAGTTAGAGACCAGTTAGAGACCAGTTAGAGACCAGTTAGAACCAGTTAGAACCAGTTAGAGACCAGTTAGAACCAGTTAGAGACCAGTTAGAACCAGTTAGAACCAGTTAGAACCAGTTAGAGACCAGTTAGAACCAGTTAGAACCAGTTAGAGACCAGTTAGAACCAGTTAGAACCAGTTAGAACCAGTTAAAACCAGTTAAAACCAGTTAGAACCAGTTCCCCCCCCCAGTACCTGCAGGGAGTCCCACAACTGGTACTGGAGGTAATCGGGGCTCACGCTATGGGGGTATCCATGGGGCAGGAACACTCGCTATGGGGCAGGAAGAAGGGGGGGGGAGACATTGAGCCCTATAGAGCCCATAGGCACCAGGACCCCCTGCCCCATAGATCCCTATGGGCCCCATTGACCCCAATATCCCCTGCCCCATAGAGCCCTATGGGCCCCATTGACCCCAATATCCCCTGCCCCATGGAGCCCTATGGGCCCCATTGACCCCAATATCCCCTGCCCCATAGAGCCCTATTGACCCCAATATCCCCTGCCCCATAGAGTCCTATGGGCCCCATTGACCCCAATATCCCCTGCCCCATAGAGCCCTATGGGCCCCATTGACCCCAATATCCCCTGCCCCATAGAGCCCTATGGGCCCCATTGACCCCAATATCCCCTGCCC